ATTACGTAAGCAGGCGCAGCTCGATGTGGCCCATTTGGCCATTTCAATAATAAACTGCATGTATCCTAAATTGTCATGTGTCATTATCGAGCGCCTGATGTCGATCGGGACACACACTGGCAGTGGCGGTGTCACATGATGGAAATGCATTTTCCAGGCGCAGCTACCCTACATAACAGACGCTGACCCTTTTGGGCCAGCTACCACCTGCCTGGCGACACATGCGACCGCACACTTTGCGGCTTCCCAATGTGGCACCGCCAGCACCCACCACCGCCATTAGCAGCAGCTCCGCTTTGCATCGACACGCCTCGGTGCACATTCTCAGCCAGCTTTATGAGTATGTACGATATGTAGCTCACTTTTTTTCAAATTGACCGTCTCTCTTTAGGTGCTTGTGTGTGTGCGTGTGCATGTGTATGCGTGTGCATGTCCTGCACCTTTTTTCGTCTCACACATTATGCTTTGTTTTGGTGTTTTTTGTCCTTTCGTAGTCGGTGAGTCACGTCAATTCTATTTGAAAGGCTGCTCGACAACGCTCGACGACCCTCGACTCGCCGCTCACCGCTCGCAGCTCGTTCCTTGGTTTTGGCTGCGCCATCACAGGACTTTTTAGTAATTGGAGACGCCAGTTGTCGCTCTCGCTGTCGCTGTCCTTATCGTCCTGCATTGTTATCGCCGCAATTTAGTTGCTTGGTTTCCATTTCGCTTTCTAAATGCTTTCCTCTATCTCTTCTTGCTCCCCGGTTTGGTTGGCTGCCAGAGAATGCGCTTATTGGTTAAGTGAACTGTGGCTAGCCGGGACGGGATACCGCCATGGGGTCAATCTGATTCCCGGCTAAGTGCGCTTAAATGTTCCCTCTACAGCTTAAAGCCAATCGAGTGTAAGGACGGATGGCATAAAATAAACTTTGGCTTAAACTGCATATTAAATGAGTTGATTTGTGGATTACTCACGAACTGCTAATCTAAGCTTATCTTATGCATATTATTTACTAAATTATAGAACATATATATTTACAGTTACTTCTAAATAAATTATGCTATGTTTAAGAAACATTAAAGAACGAATCATTGAAATTAACATTAACAATGAATCTACTTTAACATGTGATAGCACATACATACATATATACACAAATTTACTAAGAGGTATTATCTCTAATGAGACATTTAACTGACTGAATTGTGTGAATAAACCATTAATAACATTGAAATACCGAAAAGTACTTTAAAGGCTGCTAATGAAACTTGAATAGAATCCCTGATTGGGGTTGCTCATGTGACCGATAGGGCAATCCAGTTGCAATTACTTATTTGCATGAATTGGAAACATAATCAAGTGCTAGCCAGATCAATCTATATGGCTTTCAACGATATAATCCTGTCAACCGAGCTGTCAGCGTCCAGTCATTGCTCCCCTGGGTGTACAAACAACTGTCAACTGTAATTCATTATCAACTCCCATTGCCAAAACATTTTCAAGAGCGTGGCACACACACACACACACACACTATTACACTGATAATGCCAACTTTTCTTAAATGGCGCTAGTTCTCATATTTATGTAGATGAGGGAAAACACCCTTCGAGTAGAGCTTGACTGTTACAAAAACTGCATTTGATTTTCATGCGCAGCTCGCAGTGCCAATGAACTCTGCCTAGCAAAGAGAGAGGAGACTGGAGAGAGAGAGAGAGAGAGAGAGAGAGTGAGACAGAGAGAGTGGAAGTGGTAGCTGGCACAGCACAGCGTAGCACCCTCTGCCCTGCCCACTCCAGCTGAAGTCAAGGGCATCGTGAGTCAGAGCGCCAGACGGCGGTGCAAACAAATTCGGCTAATGCAGCCAGAGTGCTGGTCATTGGCAACCCCTGGCAAGGGCCAAGGGATGGGCGACGGTGACGCCCACTCAGAGGCAGGGACAACCCTTGTTTCAAGTTTATTAACGAAATTAAGGCAAAAACATGTAACGGCTTTTTCTCTTTTACATTTCTAAAGATAACAGTTGTTGTAGTAAGTGTTGTTGTGGTTGTTGTTGTTGTTGTTGCAGCTTACCCTAACTGGCATAAGGCGCTTGAAGCTTTTGGCAGTGCTCTGAAAGAGATAGAGAAAGAGAAAGAAGAAAGAAAGAGAGAACCGGTGTGTGTGTGTGTTTTGTTTCGCAACTCGCATTGTGTGTGTGTGTGTGTGTGTGTTTTAGCCAAATTTATGAAATCTGTCCTAGACAAGGAATCAAATAATCTACTATTACGGGGGCATGTGTATGTATGTATATGTCTGCATATTTATGTATGTGTATGTGTGTGTGTGTTGGCAATATTTAAATAGGGGCGTGGCATATAGTTGGACGTCTGCTAATGGAGTCATTGCTACATACAAAACGGGACAAAACAAAAGCCGGTTCAAAGAGCTATCGGCCTTACTCCCAACGACTGTTCTAAGAGCCACAATCCATAGCCCGATGTTGTGTGGACTATAACTGATGCATTCAAGTTAGAAATATGATAGCCAACTATATGAATCCAAATTTTGTATCTACGGTTCGTATAATAGCAATACCATATATGGTATTTACATATCTATTCTAATATACATATTGATTGATTGGACTGCTACAAACATGGCCGACAAATCAAACTTATGGACGATTAGGGGTCGCATATGTCTCCTTTTGTGCGTGTCGCCTGACCAGCTTCCTGAGCAGCCGATGATCATAATCAGCCATCAGCTGCAGCCGTTGCATAGCGGGTGTTTCTGTACTCGACTTTAATTGGTACAAATTATGCATACATGTATGCATGTATGTACATACATGAGCACATGTTGAAGTTTTTGGTATATAATTGTTTCAATCCCCTCGAGTTATGTCTTAATTGGTGTTGAAACAGCGGCCAGAGTGAGAGAGCTGTTGTCAGTGGTGGAGGAGGGTAGCTCCGTTCGGGAGCTGCATCAGTCGTCAGTTGGATGGATCTCTAATGCATCTCGCACAGATCTTTAAGTAATTGTGCATGTGTATGCGCGTTTCCATAGGCTCCATTAAGGTCACTCGCTCATTCACGTTCAGCGCTCTGTAATAGTTTTATTCATATTCGTATTCGTGTTCGTATTTGTATTCGTATTCGTCTTCGTAGAATAAGAAGCTCATATAACGTTGCAAGCCGCTACATATCACGCGCCGCGCCATAGATTGTATAAGTATTGTAATCTTAAATTAAATTTAATTGAATTCGATGCTGTCGTTGATGGTCCAGTTGATGTGCATATATGTATATGTGTTTGTGTCTGTGCCTAGGTCGTTCAGCGCTATTGAGCATACGCCGCCCACACACAAACACACAAACAAACACATGGCACAAGCGTGCCCCAGCCGTTCTCAGTCAAAGGTTAGAAATTAAAATGAGAATGAGAATGAGAATGATAAATATAAATGCAATGTGCAGCAAGATGACGTCGCAACGTCACGAGCCGCACACTCAGGACAGGAAGCTTGAGGTCAGCCCAGGAGGTCAACCGTACAACGCCCGCACATAGCGGGCAGAGCGGCACAGAGTGCGGGATCTCGAGCTACCACAGATGTGCTCTGCCATTCACATGCGACTCATCCTTAATGAGTTTCGATGGAAACTGCTCGCGAGTCTGTCGCACATTTCTCTGGGATGCGATGAAATTTGTAATTATAATAATAGCTTCATGTTTATTACGAAAATATACTCGAAAATTGTATGGATCTATTCAAGGCGTGAACAACATGATTGAAAGAGGCTGTCGAAAAAAGTGTAATATTTCGTGTGCAAATAATAATTATGATCTTACAGATTAAAGAAACTTTAAAGCAAAACTTAATTACGTGGTAATCGATTGCATGATTTATTATTTAAAATCTACATTATAGAACATAAGAAATTGAGAATCAAATATCTCACATACCTATCGCTATATCTCAGAACTAATAGATCTTGATGAGAGCTATAACGATATAGGTATCTGAAATAGGTCTCGCTTAAAATCCGTAACTTTTCAGGAAAGCAAAAGTATTAAATGTGAATTTTCTGGCTGAAGATGTTTTCTTATATATGATGTATGTAGAGGACTTTGACAATTGCACAGTATCCGACTTGCAACAAGATGATGCCGCTAACCACCCATCAACACGCTCTGTTTGGCTGTAGCTGTCGCCTCTACACTGGTTACCCCACATATGTACGTTGGCGACACAGATGTACATAAGGTAACAATTGCCAGGTAACGGCAAAGGTACTGCATATATCATTTCATTGTGGCGACAATTACAGGTGAGGCAGCTCTCGGTGAGCAGCTCGCACGCTTTCTTTTCAATTGTGAAACTAAGTTTTGCTGCTTGCTTTTCAAAATGCTCGCTGGCTAGCAACTATTTTTGGGCATTAAATGGTTAACAGAGTAGAACGCCAGACGGACGGACAGTTGCTGTTGTTGTTTTTGTTATCGTAGTTGTTGTTTTAGGTTGGCAACCTTTAATGGCTTCTGACTTTTTACACTTTTATGTGTTGCCCATATGCCTGTGTTGAAGGTGTAAAAAGGCAAACATAAATATGTAGGTAGAAAACTGTTATGCTCTGTCGACGGCAATGGCCGGGTCCCGCTTGGGCGTGTTGTTGCTTTTGCATAACTTATTTAGTTTTTATTTTTATTATTTTTTCATATAATGGGCTCAGCATGCATACGAAATGTGGTCGCATTCGGACTTTGCTCTAGCTGCGCCGCGTCCTAACGTGGATTTTGGGTAAGCATCGATTTTTCACCAGCAACAACAAGTGTAAATGCTAAAGGTCAAGGACGTGCGAGAAGAAGCAGCCAGCAAGCAGCTGCGACTCATAGCTACCTGTGTGGGTGCACTTCTGTCTCTCTCTCTCTCCCTCTCTCTCTCTCTTATGCTCTTGCTTCTCTTTCCGCTTATCAACTCTCTTTGCCCAAGGATTTTCATTTCAAGGACAATCGCCGATAGGCTTGACCAAATGTCACCAAGGTGTATCTGTGTGTGTGCGTGTGTTGGCCAACAACTAATTGCATTGCATGACTAAGGTGTACAAGTGTGCATGCGTGCATGTGTGTGTGTTTGTGTGTGTCAAAGTGTATGTGCCTACGTGTAAACAACTTGAGATACGCCTAAGAAACAGCTGGTTAAGCACCTACAGAAATGTGTTCTCTATGCTGGGCTGAATAATAACTGTGTGGTTTGCATACTGACTCACCTGTGAAAGTTCCGAATCATCGCGCAGTTTGTCCGCCAAATCGGCGGCAGCTGCATGCGTTGTRTAGCAGCAGAGCAGCAGCAGCGCAGCTAATGCGCTCGGTCCACGGCCTACAATCATTTTACAACACTCGCGCACTTGTTATTCTCTTTCTTTCTTTTTATTTTTTGCTTGCTGAAACGACGCAACAGCGACGACAACGACGACGACGACGGAGACAGCGGCAGCGGCTTCAACGGCGACTTTTGAGGGTTGGCAGTATTTGTTACTGTATTGGTGAGCGCGCGTCTATGCGATAAATATCTGCAATTTAAGCGCAAAGAACACACATAAATAGATACATATATAATCAATGGCAGCAAAGAACCCCTCCTCTCCACAACCCTCACATAAACAACCAAATGGTACGCACTTCTGCAGTGCTCACAAAAAAATCGTTGGCTCGGCTTTTAAAATTGCACTCCCTCACACTGTCACACTCACTCGCACACACACGCAGGCAATCCAATACCGTTATGTCACATAAGCAGCACAACAGCAGTCCAAGAAGCAAAAATAACTAAAAAACTCAAGAGGGAAAGCTTAGCTGCGCTTATTGTTGTATGTTGTTGCTACTGGTTATTTGTTGTTGTCTTTTTGCTTGCTTCTATTTTTTTATACACATTCCGTTTATGTATGGTCATTGTTCTCAACTGGGAACGTTTCTATTGCCGCTGTACGCTTTTTGCTGACGTTTGCGGCTCTCGTTCTAACAGCTCAAGGAGAAGTTCTTAAAAAAAATAAAGCTAAGCCAAACCATGCCAAGCCACTGCAGTGGGCACTAACTAAATTATGCAATGCGCCTCCGGGCAACCGTTGCCTGCCGCGTAACACTTTTTGGCGTCTGCAAGTGAGTCGACCTTTTCTCTTCTCTTGTACTAGCAGATATTGGCAATCAATAGTTACGTACATACGCTTACACCACTTATTTTGCACTTCTTTTATACATATACAATTATATTGGGAGCACTAGCAGAAAATCTATACAAAGCGCAGCAGCAGCAGCAATGCTCGGATTTGAGCAGTGCCAAATTCCCACTGAAGCCACCACAGCAGTCAATACAACCAAACAATACCGAGACAATTACGTACGCCACGCTTCAACGTTTCGATGCAACTAAGCCGAGAACAGGTTTCAAGCACTGTTAAAAGACACTCAATCGTTTGATTCAAGAGAGGGCGGCGCACACATTAACAGACCTACAAGTTGTCTGCTGTGAGTGCTGTTATTGTGCTGTTGCACTCATTGTGGACTGTTACTCGTTTTGAATATTAACTGACACAGTAGTAATCGATGTTTGAATTAAGTCGACAGTTATTAAAGTATTTTAAATGACTTGAATTTAATCCTATTATTAAATACACAAATTATATAAATTGATAACTTTCATGTTAAAAAGACCCAGAAAACATGCGTTTCATTAGAAGGTAGGGCTCTGGTACCTTAAGTATTTTCGATATTCGCTTGCCACTGCTAATTTAATACAATTTTTTTTTTTTTACATTTATATATTCAAACATCGCTATATACTTGTATTATTTATGAATTGAGTTTCCGTTAATTGCTTAACGGCTCAATAGTTAACAGACTAAAGTTAAAGGTGACCATAAAATTATTTAAATAATGTTATCAATTAGGGAAAATATACTGCAAATATTGTATGCTTCAAAATACCACTCATTTATGATAATACCATCAAAGAGCCAGCACATTAATAAAAATAAAAATTAAATTTTATTTGTTAGCTGAAAATTATTTCTGTGCCCAATGAACGACTTAAGTCTTGAATATAATTATAAGAACACACCCTGTGCCAACTGCTGGCTGAAATGTGTTTTCATTTCCCATTGACACTTTTCAGCACTGAAATGAAACTCAGCTGTTTGTCAGCTGTGCTGTGTTGTGTAACCTCACGATTTAATTTGGTTCGGCATGGACTGCGCTCGTAAAGTTTTACGTGTTTTACCAAAAAAATTATTTACACGCAGCTTTACGATGACCTCTTCACAACGTGCCAAGGAGGCAATTGAAAAATTGAAAGAGACAAATCCTTATTACACCAAGTATGCCGATAAGATTGCCAAAGCACAACTAACTTCGGCAGAAGAATTCTTGGATCGGATTGAGCGCGTCGTTAATCCCATTAAAGATGGTAAAATTCAGGCCAGGTAAGTGAAGTTCATTAAGTTCATTACATACATATATAACATGAAACATGCCCATATTTTTAGATCCTACTCAGAGCTTTTGAATCCCAAGCAGAAGCTTGCTAAAGAGTCGGCCGAAGTTCCCCACAAGAAGCTAACCGACATCATGAAGATGGAGTTAATCGCTGATAAGAACGCCGAAGAGATATCGCAGATTTGGATCGAGTACCACAAAACCAAGGAAGTGCTAGCTGCCACATTGACTACCAGTCAGTACCAGACATTGACCGAGCGCGCCAAGGAGCATCCAATCTTCCTGCTGCCATTGCCGCGCAGCGAAGGCTTCGAATTCATCATGTTGCAGTTCGCTGCCAATTCGGTGCACTTTACACCCCTGCTGGCCTACCAGGTGCACCAAGAGAATGCCCCCGAATGCCTCACCTTGGTGCATTACACCGAGATGCAGGACAAGGGCATTGTACTGATGCGCGGAGAGTACGACACGAAGGTGCTGACCGCACAGGAGGCGCAGTGCCTGGCAAATGAGCTGCAAATGTTTTACTATAAGACCGACGAGAGCAAGCTCAAGCTGCTGGAGACATTCACCAAGCGCCCTGATGAGTTCAAGCACATGGATCTCATCAAGGAAGTCGAAAACATTCAACTGGGCTAAGCTATTCGAATATTAACTAAACGCTAGTAAAATAAAAAATAATCGTAAAACGGAAAAAATCAAGGAAATTGATTAGGCTCCGATTTGTGCCTGCCTTTGGCTTTAATTTCATTTCATTAAGCAAACATTTATATATAACAGTTAATTATGAATATTTTGCAATGAACATTTAATTGTAATTAACATTCATATTCAAAGTTTCGGTAATTGTTTAAGCTATTGATTTGAAACAGTTGCAACAGAGTTTCAAATTAGTTCTCTCTCCCTCCCGCTCTCAACGCATCGTGATTAGAACAGTTCCTCCTGGCCAACGTCATGGATCTGCCAAGTTGATAAAGCCATACATTTAACAGATTTCTAACGGTTATTTCGGATATCCACTTACCAATTCTCCGCCATTGTTGTTATCATTGAATGGTTCAGTATTAACACCATTTAAAAGCATTCGATTGCGGATGGCCTGCAAGAGCGAGCCGCGCTTGCCAAACCTCACACGGGCCCGGTCGCCATAGTAGACATCGAGATCCTGCAGATACTTGAGCGCATCTGCCATGGTGTTGATTTCATTGTTGCGCGGTGGTCGAGTCTTGGAGGCCTCCACAATGCAGCCGGCGGCAAACAGAGCGAATGCCACGCAGATGACTAATGTGCAGCGCATTGAATACGACATGATGCGATTAGCTGCACGTGCAACAGAGTTAGAGAGAGAAAGAGAGAGAGAGACAGTGAGATATGTAGAGTAAGTGATGCCAAGTGGGAGAATGAGCGAGAGAGAGAAGTGGCTAATGACTGGGATTAAACGAAGTCTGACTGAAAATTACTTATAATAGGAAATTGGAATAACACGGTATAGCTCGCTACAAAATTGCATTAGCATTAGCTAAGATTAGCTCGGGGCATTAAGGAGAATTACTGGTTGTTCCACTTGTGATTTGCATAACTAAATATCAGTTGCACTCTTATGTTGTTTTTATCTCATATTGAACTGAACCCGATTGCCCCCACACTGTCTAATTAAAAGCCCATTTACAGGCCGGCCCGTCTAGGGCCACGGCTAATACCAGTAGCGTATACTGCAATATCTGGCCAATTTGCAAGTTCTGTGCAATTATCGCTTTGTTTATGAAGTTCACAAGCCACCGGATCGCATTGGCATAACTGCAATCAAATTCATCTGACGCAAATCATTAATTGGCCCAAAGAAAGCTGCTGACTGATTGACTAAGTTTATTGTTCTAGAGGAGCAGTTGCCGTTCCTCTTTATTATTTCAATTTGCTGCTGCTATCGAATCGGATCAAGTAGAATAGATGCTTTTTTTTTAGTAGATTAAATTATGTGCTAAAAAGAGTATTAATATACTCATACTCATAATTATTGCAATCAGAATAATAATAATTTATATAATCAATAGAATTTGAATAATCCTAAAATTAAATTCAGTAAACTAAATTTTCTTCATACTAAATCATAATACTAAAACAAAAACAACAAACAAATTAATGTTTAAGTCGATTTAATCGAATTTTGCTTTAACATATCGAAGTTATATATATATATATTTAAAATATCTTACCAATTAAANAAATTATGTGCTAAAAAGAGTATTAATATACTCATACTCATAATTATTGCAATCAGAATAATAATAATTTATATAATCAATAGAATTTGAATAATCCTAAAATTAAATTCAGTAAACTAAATTTTCTTCATACTAAATCATAATACTAAAACAAAAACAACAAACAAATTAATGTTTAAGTCGATTTAATCGAATTTTGCTTTAACATATCGAAGTTATATATATATTTAATAAGAGAACCTCAACAATTTAAAAAGAATATCATTTTAAAATTAACTAAATATAATTCAAATATTCGAATGAAATAATTATTTAGAAATCAAATACAGTACTGTAGGTTTTGTTTAATAATGCGACTAATCATATTTGACACTCTAATAATAAAATTATTAAAATTCATCTTTCATGGTTCATGAAGAATATTTTAAAAACTCAAAAAAAAAAAAAAAAATAAAGAAAAAAAAACACGAACACAACTTAAATAATTACATATAAAATATACATAAAACTATAAATTAATTATAAAAATTCACTAAACATTTTTAGCTCAACTAAGCTGAATCATATTTCACACAAAAATAATCGAAATCTGTTTCTTTTTCACTTTATCGCACAATAGAAAATGATAGGAAAATGTGATTTCCTATTCTTATTTGTTTATTATTTATTATCGACTTACCTTTAATTGAGTATTCACAAGTAGCTGACGGACGTATGACACTTGCAATGTTGCACAAACTGTTGCTGCCGCTGTCGCTGACTCTGCCGCAACAAGTACCTGACGAGGCGAGTGCAAAATTATGAATGATGGACGAGATTGCAGAGCAACAGGCCACTAAGGAAATCGGCCAGCGATGGGTTGTTGATTGGAAATAATGGGCGTGCTCAACAGGCAGTGGATGGGTCCGACGACCGAAGGTAAATGATAAACGAACGCGTACAGCAACAGGCATTTATATAGTCGTACGCACCATGACCTAGATGTTGCTGCAGGATGTTTTGCAGCCGCCAGAGGCGGCCACCGGCAGAGAGGAAGCCTCAAAAATATTTTCATATGCAACCTAATTATGTTGGCAAAAGTTTTTGGAGCAGCTGGAGCTTAAAACAACGTCAATGCTAGCTAACAAATGCTGACAGTTGGCTAACGAGATATCGCGAAATGCTGGATGTTATTAATGAGAATAGGCATGGCGAAGGATTACTGCCTGCTGGCAGCCCCCCTATCGCCCACCTGAGAATGCGCGGCCGATATGCAAATGCTCTCTATCATTAATTTGAATTATTTGATTATTATTTAATTGCAGCCAGGGTTTAGGGGCGTCACTTTAGTGACGCCGTAACGGGCAAACGAGTTACATTTATCTCTACTTGATATATTTATAATACTATTATTAAAAGGGCATTCCAAAGCCATTGATTTAATTTGGGGTCATTTGATTTGCTAACCGAATAGGTAATACCATATTCCAATGCCCGACTTCTGGTTAGATGCGTGTACGTAACGTCGAATGTTCTATTACGTATGTACTCATATTACGTATACGCCGCGGGGCACAATCGGCATATCTCTAATAATTTGTATTGCCCCTCCCCCTCATTTATAGCGTTTTTATTTTCGCATTAACTTGAGTGACCTGGCTAATTGACAGGTAGCATACATAGAACACCTATTAAGTTAGTTCAGTTAGTTTTTTTATGCTCTTATTGCAGCTACACACATATCTGTGTGATGTATGTGATATATGTGTACGACAGCAACAAGTGCAATTAAGCTGGGTAAATATTCATTAGAGACAACCGACTGCGTATTATATTTAAATTAATTGGTCGACTGCTCTGTTCCTTATTATTCGGCTTAGAGTTTTACTGCAGCTCAACGAGCTTAGGAAGAAACTTTCCTATGTTATTAGTTTGATCTGTTGAAGTGTTCTGTGATTGAACTCAACTCGAGTTCAGCTCCCACCTTGTCAGCATATCCAATCTAATTGCTGGCTCTAAGCCATTAGGCGAGGCATAATATCACAATTAAACCTAACAGTACATATTCCACTACACAACGCATTGAATCAATGCTCGTAGTGCCGTTTGTACTGTTTGTATCGACTAGTTGTTTGTTGTCGCCGCAAGGGAGCTGGGAATTGGGAATTCCCCGCTGTGAGTGCTTCCCGTCCAACTTGCTGTAAGTTTTTTTAGTTCAAGGATGCGGCTCCTGCAACAGTTTGCATGCAGCTCATCGTATTGAGGGAGTTCAGACGGCAGCTCCACCTGACTTTTACTGGCTGATTTCCCAGCTTTCTCACCTGGCATGTGCTAAAATGTTGGCGCATGTGTTTAATAGGGTCACAGCCAAGGCATCGAATGCGTTTACGTTTTTTGTAGCTCAATTTTCGTAGACGATTTTATGGCCCCTAATTTGATTTCCAAGTACATCCACCAGCCGAATACAGTTATAAATTTAAGTAGTATGCAAATGGGGCTTTCCTGGAAGCAAGAAGCGAACGCACGCATCGCGTGCTCGTCAAACTGAAAATTGTGCATGTTGTCTTATAATTTCAAGAAACAGTTATTGGAATATGACGTATGGACTTATGACACGTAGGGCTATCATCCTATATGATTAGATTCATTTCATTCCATATACCATTTTCACAGCGAACAAATATTTTTATTGTATAGTCGACACAAATTACGTATATTACCTGTTGAAAATTTGATTAAAGTTATAGCGCTGCACTCAGGCAATATATAATTAAATAGGAAAAAATATATTATTCCAAGTTCTCATAAATCAATTATCAATTAAGGTCATAGATTTAAAATTTAAATATATTAAATTTGAATAAAAATTCCTTGTTTGTTCTATAATTTATTTAATTGATGCTGTGAAAAGCTTAGTGGATGATTAAAAGCTCACTGTGAATACATTGTTGGCGATAGGCGATAGCCTATCCATTACACAAACTTATTTAAATAGAAGTGACAACTAGTTTTCAAGCTAGCTATTTTTACCGAAATATATTGAAAAGTGTTGATAATAGTTGTCAGATCATATGAAGATGAAAGCCACACATATACAGCACAGACAGCTGTCATGGCTGATTCAATATATATAACTATATTCCTTAAAAAAAGTAAAGAGTCGATTATATGTTTAATGTATTTATATTTATTTACTTATCATTTATATATTGTATTTTTTTACTTATTAAAAAGAATTTATAGTGCCGTAAACTTTCCATATGGGAGAAACAAAGCGGTTTTCTGAGACAACCGATCGGGCAATGTTCAAGGTATAGCCGAAGCTTCGGGTACTCCCGAATAGAGTGCTCTCACATGTTTGATGATGATGATATATACTTCTAGTTATATATATTCAAAGCATTTGACATCATTTCCATTTGACCTCACAGCGTTCAATTTGTGAAAAGCTAAGACTTTGGTCTTTAGCTCAGTAATTAAATTTTCAAAAGTTTACGATTTGTTAATATATATGTATATATTTAAAGAGATAAAAATACACGTGTATTATTATTTAAATCTAAAAAAGACACACTAAAAATAATTAGAAATCTTTCTAGAAATTTTTCTAAAGTAAATCTCTTTAAACTCAAATATAAAAATAAAACAAAAATAATTTTCCTTTCCTTAATCTTCGGTCAATGGTTTCTGTGCTCAGATACAAAAGGATTAGACATAGTGCCGATTTATGTGAATATATGTGTATTTGTGTGAACAAAGCTCAATAATCCGCACACTCGTAAAAGCTCTAATAGTATTGTGCTTTTTCTGGTATAATTGTGGCAACAAAGCACATATCCTGGGCCGCAAGCTCAAAGCTCAATGCGTACTGGGAAAAGTCTTTTGACTGGACTGAGCTTCTTTAAGCACTTTCGTATTTTATGGCGTTGTTAATATGCAATAATTATGGGGTACTCGCTATAAACAATAATAAACAATTTTTATGCATGACAACTGCTATTTAGTAGCACCCATTGGCTGTACATTTAGCGAAATTTCTCGAGAATCTGAGCTCCAAAAAATTCCGGTCGACTTTTAATGCCAGAACACAAGACAATTGTAGTAAAAACTCAGAGAACAAGAAAAAAAATAAAATAATAAAATAATAAGCAAAACGAATTTAAGTTACGCGCTAATGTACGCAATAATAATTAAGTAGATGTTTTGAAATTAGAGACATGCGATCTAGACGTGAAACAACAGTTGAGTTTGAGTTCACCTGAAGCGCGGGTCGCTTAAGGCCTAATGGACCGCCATCTTCTAAGTAGACACAATAATAAACATAGGATCTAATGGACAGATGCTTTTAGAACCGTCCGTCGAGTGCTGGCGGCTGCTGCGAAAACGTGACTGGGCCCAATAGACACGATCTAAATCGATCAGATCGAGCGATCATTATCCGCATTGCTACTTAATAGTTATTGACTATTAACTAGCCGATCTACAGGCTGCTGTGCGCTGTCAGAAATTGGCTCTAAATGCGAGCGGCTCATGAATAAACATTTCCTATGGGGACGGGGCACGTGTGCGTGGCTATTAGGGATTAAATAGAGTCATTTGTGTTATTAAATGTAAAGCAACGTTAAGTGATCTTTAAAATGGCGCACCACAAGTACAATTATTAGTATAGTAACAGCAACAACAATTAAAAGTATTAACGAACTTTAGTAACCCCCGACGAGCCATATAGTCGTCCCCAGTGTCGATTAACTCATCGTTCTGGAAACTTTGGAGCAAATAGCACTCGGGGATTATTTGAAACAAACTACTTAGTTGCAAGTACTTGGCGTATACTAAACGTTGCCAGTTATGCTTGTGTTGTTGCTGACACCCAGGGATCGCGAGCGTCGGCATCGGCATCGGCATCGGCTTCGACGTTGACGTCGACAGCACCGCCGTCGCCGTAGTCGTCGTCAGCGTCAGCCGAGGCTTGAAAGTGGACCGGTTCATGAAAAGATTTTCGCGCTTTGACGCTAGATGCTTGATCGCAGCTCGGTCTACGTTTCGATCTGAGTCTGAGCTGGGTCGCTGTTAGCGTCTCAGTCGGAGCTCAGCTGCCCGGCCCAAGAGTCCATATAAAGGTACTCACTGCCGTTCAGCTCAGCGCATTAAGTTGTCAAATATCGTGAGAATAGGAAGTGCGTGTCAGTCGATTTCAATATACTAACAACAATATCAGCAACAACTAAATTAAATACATAAATGAAATAAATCGATCAACAAGTGCAACAACTCAAATACAATTTACAAAATAATTCGTTAAATTCTCGAAATGATCTGTGCATTAATCCAATAAAAACGTGAATCAAACCAATACAAATAGAAACATATTTATAAACAATAAAAATATATTAATGAATTATTAACTCAAATTACCCGCCAAGCGATCGATGCAAATTAATCAGAGCTCACATACTTTGGACTTGTTATTGTAAATCGTTCTGTTTGCCTGCAATATAGTCGATATATGTGGATATTCCTTTTCTATATATGTATAGTTATGAACTGCGGCTGTAATTGATTTTCATCATAAAACAGGCAAATATAAATATCTGTTAATTGATTGCCACACACGGCTTCAAATAGCTGAAATCGTTGCGAAAATCGCGCCAAGACCATAAAAGCGACGCTCAACAAAAAATGAAACTGTTCACAAACAAAACCCAGCGCAATGCAAGTGAGTAAATTAAAGTGAGGTCCGATCTTAATTAAGTTATACCGTTACTTCGCCACCTTCATCACGTCCAAAGACACCCATAAAAGAGTTCAAGCAAAGGCTAACTCCCGATCTGCTCGCCGAGAAACATAAAAATCTTTAGCACTCGCAAAACTGGTTGCCAAATGCATTTTGCAACCTAGCTCTTTCAATGTAATTAAGCAGGATTTGGGAGTATGTCGAAAGCTTGACGGTTGCCTGCATGCAAATCACGTCAAAAGTATGCAAGACTTACTTGGCCCGACAGCATATTTTCGGCTCTGCCGCTGCACACACACACACACACGGCTTAGAAGCTGTAAGACCATTTAGCCATTTCAATTTGTTAACACAAAATTGATATTGGCTCGACTCTCAGATTTGCGTGCTAGCAAATCGCATTCTCTTCTAATCAAGAGATTATTTAGTAAGATTTAGCAGAAATATATCTTATCTTAATCGGGGAAAAAATGATAGCATAGTTAATTGAAATAATTGTGCATTGAAAGTCTGAATAATTAATTATTGCGGCACTAAACTGTTTATTGAAAGCCGGTTTCAATAATTTATGGTATATTGATATATTTTTGTTTTAATCTGAGCTAATTGAGGATAATTTATTTATTTGTTTTATTTCAAAATTCCACTTAACTGTTAAATGAAATGGAATTGCATTTTAAATATTTCAAACTAAACGATTTCTTTGCAAGTCTTTCAAGTTTTATGAAATCTTCTTCAGAGCTCGAGTGACAATAATTTTGTCTTTTAGTGATACAACTTTAATACAGTCATATTGACTGACTCAGATTTGCGCAATTGTCAAGTGCTGGGCTGGAAGGTCATAGAGTTAAAGGCGGGTTCGGTTGAAATACCCGACAAATACCTTGGCAGTTAAGTTGGGTGCATAGTTATAATAGTTATATATTATACATGTATAGTGACTGTTGTATTGTTTGTTTTTTGCTCAGCTAATTCATGTTTTATGAATGCAATACTTAGATCTCCATAAGTGTCACAGCACTCTGCCCCTAGGATATTGTTCTAAGTAGATTTGAGTGAATGTCTTGTATAATCTCCATGTTGCTGCTGTTCATATTCTCTACTCGGTGGTAACCTTTACTAGGATTGTCGACAATGATCTTGTAGATGCTTCTTCTTGCTCAAAGTATAAATAGAGAGCTAAAGACTAATCTAGCACAATAATCCATCAGATTACGCTTAAAGCAATGCATCCAATCGAAAGCTGATTAAATTCAATCCGAAAAGTATATTGTATTTTTATTTCCGTTACTTCACACCTCAATAAATTCTTCACAGCACTAGGATACAGCACGTTTAGAATACGAAATACAACTTAATAACTTGTAAGCCTGGATAATTAGTTTAGTATGCTTGGTTTCAGAATTCACGAGTACTCGATAAAAAGCACATATTAATACATTGTTATTTGGAATTAACACTGCCAATACTATATATCTCATGATAAATAATTATTTTAAGCTTATAAGTCAACCAATTAATAATATGTAGAACTTCGGGAAATTCTCACACTATTCAAGTGTAAACAATGCGCCACACATTTGCCTAGCTTTGGGAGTCTGACCTAATATTGGGGATGCAACTAAAAAATGTAAATTTAGCACAAGTGGAGAGCGGAAATAATTATTACTTAAAAGTTTATTCCTTAATAATTGGCAATAGGTAAATTTTTTTTTTTTAAATACACTGGTTATGAGATTTTTTTTTAAACAAAGCATAGTAAAACAAATATATATGT